CTCAGAGCCGCTCTCGTCCCTGAGGATTTTCTTTGTTAGAGAAGGGTTAAAGAGAAGTCCCTCTGCTCCTGGGTCTAGTAAGTGGCTCTGTCATGATCCAGCTGAATATGAATTTCTGGGATCAGCGCAAACAGAAGACTCAACCCTGGTATCTCTAGGCCATCTAAAAGGTCTAAAACTTTAAACTTGATCATTAACCTTTAAAACACATTTTCAATATAGAAATTCTGAAGATCTAAGGGGAAAATTTTACCCACAAGTAATTCCCCGATTTCCATCTGGGTTGTTGTAGTGTTTTCGGAGAAGCTGAGGGAAAAGGCGATGGCTGCTCAATCAGCGCAATCTATTAAAATGAATTAGATGTCATTTAGTTTCTTAAGTTTCCAGAGGGACCAGGAGGAAACGTAAGCACAGGCCACCTCTCGCGAGCTCTTGGCATATCTCACAGAAACCAGGTTTAAAGTTGGGGAAATAAGTCTGGGTAACTTATGGACTTGCTGGAAATCTAGCCTTCCCCTCTGCCCAAAACCCAATAAACAAAAATCTATCTAGCTACAGCTTGTTACAGAAGACACGATGAGATCCTTGGCAGGAGTCTCCACCGATGAGTAATTTTTAACTGGATGAGGCAAAGCCCTCAGCCTCACTACAGGAAACAATAGTGCACTGGCAAAACCAACCAAACAAAAGAATAATGTTCCGTCTTTTATTTTTTTAAATTAATTTTCTTCACAGGAAGACGTACAATGCCATCATCCTTTCTGACATCTTACCCGCACTGCAGGCTGTAATAAATAGTTCATTTGAAGTATTCCCAATTCAGAATGAAAATCAGGAGCACTAAGAATACGTAAACAGGAAGCAAAGAAACCAATTTGACTCAGAAGCGTATTTATCAGGAGGCCTCCTGCCACACACTGTCCTAATGAAGTAATAAAGACCACTCTGCGATACAAAAACTTAATTCAATTAGGCACTCTCGGAGAAAAGCAGTCTTTCTTTACGGCTCCCAAGTACCTGATAAGACGACATGGCTGGATACTGCACCATCATGCCTTGCACCTGATTTCCCTGTTGATTATTCATCAGGTTCTGGCTTTGGGGCGGCTGCTGCATCCCCATGAGACCCTGGAACCCCTGCTGCTGGTTCGGCAGGACAGGCTGGTAACCTGGAAGAAGAAAGACATCTTCAAATACCCTGCCGCTTGTAGGGGCAAAATTAAAATTGTTCTGAGGAACAGCAAATGATCCCATCATTTCTCCCTGAGTTCGTCAAAAAGCTGCTCTATTTCTAGAGAAGCGTTACTGGAAGTGAGAACCGGAGGGGAATAAACAAAGCCCCGGCGGGCTGACGCGAGCGGGCAGCAGGCGTTCCCCACGCTCTCCAACCCTGCGGCACAGCCCACCCCGAGGTCTCTTCACAAGACTGCAGCGCAGGACTGTAAAGCCCTGAACAGATAGACGGGGTGCTGCTGGCTTCTGGCTGCCTCCTCGGAGGCAAAACTCCCACCGGCTTCAAGGACACCAGTAAGTTGGTCTTCGTAGTCTAATCTGGTAGTTTTCTTTCAGGTCACGTTTCTTATCTCACCCTCTTACCTTTCTGGCAACGCAGCTTCCTGGCACAACGTAAACACAGAAGGCTTTATTTAATCAAGAAGAACATCTGTATACACACTGGCTCCTACTTGCTAGGTTTTTTATACAGTTAGAGCGTATTACGGGTCATATTCCACCCTACTAGTTTTGTGTTTGGGAAAAGAGGAAAATCATAAATTAGGGAGTGTCCAGTCCTCCCCGTTGCTCGCTGGGAACACTGCCGACACACCAGTGACTGCACAGGGCTGAGAAGCTGATGGCTCTTTCAACCTCCAATTGGTTCTGTGTTCAAAGTCACCACAACACGGCAGGTTTTCTGCTGGGACGGCTCCTCTAGGACTAATTGAGAAATGGGCAAAGTCTGGATGATCTGGAGGGCAAAGCTCCCGATGAGGCAGAAGCGCGGATGGGAAGCGAAACGCGAGCGGTGCAGCAACGCAATCCAGCCCGAGAACGAGCCTTGCCAGCCGGCGGTGAGCTACCTAGGTGATGCTGCTATCTAGAGATGAAGGATTTTGCAGAAAAAGTGGGAAAGGAAAGGAAGATGCAGAAAGATCCTGTCCTTGAAAAAGGCAGCCAGCCACCTGCATTATAAATCTATGAATAATTTCTCCTTAAGACATTGTGTCCTTTAACACTCATATTTTTTAACATGCAGTTATGCAGTGCGCTATTAACTCTGTAGTGATGTTCCCAGAATAAGCATATTTCAGGCAAAGAATTATCAGAAGGAGCCACACTGTGTTATTTTTATATGAAAAATGTGTGTCACGTCTGCTCAATTTATATTCATGAATACAGTACGCGGTTCAATATACTTCACGAATTGGAAATCATCACCTGGGTATTTCTTCATTATGTAAGAAAAATAATGTAACAAATATCTCTGTTTCTGCTGGTTTACTGTCAACTGATAGCTTTCTTTCAAATCTTTTCTGACGCCAGAGAAACGTCGGATATCTCTGATCAATTTTCTGGTATTAAAGATGCCTTTCCACAGATATGAGATTAATGTCTCCAGTCAACTGAGCAAAATAAAAAAAATAAAATTAATTCCATGAGTGATTAACTTGGCTGGAATATAGCATCAAACCTCTCCCAAATGCACCAGATTATTATATATTCAAATTTGCTCTTTTCCTATGCACAAACACAGTATCAGCATATTTTTTAGTCAGAAAAAAATTACCAACATCAGAAGTGCTGTAACTGAGTTTACAGAAGGCTTATACAGCAATAATAAAATCGCAAGGCCTCTTCTGCTCCCGTATACCAATTAAGGGGAGGAGGGGGAGAAAGGACAGAAATAAAAAATTTAGCACTACTATTCTGGTACTTGCAAGACTGGAAGTTTAAGCAGAGAGGAGCCAACTGACAGCAGATGCAGCAAGAGAGAACTCATCTCCTGTCACTTGCGGTTCTCAAAGTCAGTCCCAGATGTTGTAATGAAGGACAGACTGACAGTGGAGCGGGGATCAAGTGATGCTCAGTCGGGAAATGCGATCAAACATCGGCTCTGGGCTCGCAGACTTGGACCGTGATGCACTGGCAGAGGGTGACGGACTGGTCTATGCACAGACAGACAGACATCACTGGGGTCAAGCAGAGAGAAGCCCTTCTCTTATCGCTAGTAAACATAATTGCATTACCGTTACTTTAGTCAGACTAGGGCTGGTAACTCTGCTGTGTGCTTGAACATACAGCGCTCTCTTTGCCTCAGCTTCGTGTTCCATATTGTCCGAACATGACAACTTTATTGCCCAGTACAGACGTGACTATCAAACTGAAACAAAAAGTTATGGAAAGGACGAAGTATCTATCCTTATGCTGAACGTGTAGGCATGCCCTGACGGGGCCATTACAGTAACATGTACCTCTGCCCTGAAAACCTCCTCCCTATTAGCAACCCTCTGACCACACAGAGGGGCCTCAATTCAAGCAGAAAAATACTTCACATGCGCTCTAACACACTTCCAATGTGATCAGATGGGAGCAAAGAGGTATTAACACAAGAATCTGACCGCATTGTCTCTTGAACTTTCTCTGCTGATGAGGGAAATGAAGTCACTTCTTTGGCCCAGAAGGAGCTACTGTGGTCTCTTGACCATTTGCTCCCTTGACTTGTGGGTTTAAACACAGATGTTTAAGAAGGTTACTGGCCTTCTTGTAACCTTGCAAAGATGCTGGCTGTCATCTCTTCCTCACTTAATAGTCACTGACTTCTTTTTTATGACCCGTACCCTTTGGAATACAACAAAGTTATGGATGTCAGACCTTGCCGCAGAACACCAGTACCGCATTTGGTCAAAATCCAGGATCCTCTTCAAGGCTCCGCAACTCAAATGAAGCCACTTCACTTTTCCAATAGCAAAGTCTGACCCTTTACTGTGTTACGTATATGAAGAAAGATGCAAGTTCATCCATGCTATTGAATATAAAAACCTGTCAAGGTACAAAAATATACTCCAACAGTGCAGAGGGAGTACAGAGTATTAAAAGGTGAATTAATTAATTTATCTACAACAAGCTCGATAAGCAAGAGGAAGATGCTATGAAAAAACACAGCAGCCCAAGACCGTTCTGCTAGACGGCTTCTGTTCCAGCACAAAGGCAAGGGGAAGGAATTGACACTCTACATGGCAACCCACTGGAACAAGAACTTGTCAGTATTAGAAACCAGCTGCTCTGAATTTCCTACCTCCACAGCCCAAATTCCGCAACTCTGGCTCTGCATGCCACGTGACATTTGAAACGGATCCTTCAGTGTTTACTGTGTGTTGATGTCTTCACGTGTTTTTGTGCACTCGCCAGTAAAAAACTGGAGGTGGGAGAATTGAGACTCTGCATAACTGATAGTCTTAATATATCAACCTTTCAGCAATATTCACGAAACTACATCGTTCTAGCAAATCTATCTTTTTTTTTTTGAGGGCACAGACTATCAGAGATCGCTATTCCCCCAAAACTATTTATTTTGTACACACACAGCAGTTTCAATCCTCATTCAGCTCTGCCATGCTCTTGACATGCTGTTTATTTTTCATTGAAATAAAAATAATACAGTGCTCTCAAAAGTCTTGGGAACAGACTGCAGCGCACGGAAAGCCATGCACTGCTGGGCAGAGATGGATGTTTCGGAGCTACACAGGTGTCAGGGAACAAGGGAGAACTGGAAGCAGCATCATGCTTTCTGCAGCAATAGTTTTCTTCATACTTGCTCTTTTGCTCATTAGCTTTCATACTACATAAAGTGTAATCCTTAAAAGCCTCTTTACTGTCCCCTGAGAACATACATACGTGGCTTATTTTCTAATGGCAGTATACATCAGATGAACCATCCTATTACTGCAAGCTCCAGGGCCTCTTTACTGCAATTATATCATCCTGCTCTATGTTATCTCTGCTACAAAGGAGGATTTTTTAAATCAGGGCAAACATGAGAGACACTGTTAAACAACCAGAGGAACAAATCGTGCACAGAATTCCAATGAATGCCTCAGAGGAAAAATGAGCCTTGGATTGCAGTCGGAATGGAAGAGGCCGTCATACCATCAAGGTAATTCTCTGAACCTTTACAGCCTCCACCACCATGCTGACAGTCAGCTAACTTAAACATCCCAGGGGGAGAAAGGCTGCATGAAAGACCCACACATGTTTTAATTTCTTAATGAGGCTACGGAGCTCAAAAGACAAAACGCAGTGGTCTTACAGCTCTGCCAGTAATGTCACCCAGAGCTGTAATCAAAGCACATTTGGCGCTCTGCTGGCCTCAGCACACATCCTCTGTGAACGGCACATCCATGTTTGGAGGGACTGTTTCATAGCTCACTTTAGATTTGAAGCACATATTAGCAAGATAGCTCTGTAGTATGTGTATCAGCACTTCGGCTGACGAGTGCAGCAGTCTGGCACGAGTCCCTGAACCGCAAATCTGACTGTACCCTTATTGCACTCTTACCACATGAACAGAGTCCTTCCATCTAAGCCCATCCCATGCAAACGCATAAATTCACAGTGTTTTTGATGTGCGGCGATTCGAGATCTCATCCGCTCCCTTCCCACTTCACTCAGCGTAGTGCCAGGAGAAGTGGAGCCGTTGCCACCAGCAAACCCAAAACTCGGGTACCTTGGCAACCCACTGCAGTGGCTTAGGCAAGCAAAGCCCCAAAGAAATTCAAAAGGGAAACCTCATCAGGGCTAACTGGGCTGGGTGCAGGGCTACACAGATCTGGTCATGCTCCTGCCCGCTCCGCAACTACTGCAGTGCCTTTCTGGTGCCCGACGTCCCCCCAGTACAGACCAGCTCAGCCTCTGCTGTAAGAATCTGCAGGAGCAGTTTCTGCACCCAGTCCCAAGTGCTGTGCTCGCCGTGGGGACTTACGGTTGCAAAAGACTCCCCAAAAGTGGTAAGAGTTGAGAAGAGAGCTACAAAAATGATCTGAGGTCAGAAAGTGCACCTCTTCCCGGGAGACCTAATGAGCTCACTCTGCTCAATTTATTCAAAAGGTGAAGAGGTATCTGCAGGCAGATTGTTCTTGAGCAGAACAGAAAACAGTATAATAACATTACATGG